CTTCCAATTTTGGTGAATGTTCCCCAAGTGTTCAGGCTACTGGGAACAAGCCCTTAAGGATGCAACTAAAAATCCAGTACACTCTGCTCAGAACTATGGCCACAATCATATCATACAACGTCAATAGCATCAACACAGCAATAATTTTTTTCTGAGTCCTCCTGTAACAATTGTAACCAGTAAATCAATTTTTCTCAACTTCTTTTAACAGACCAAGCTGTCCAGAAAAAGTGGCAGTTCAAGGGTTGAGACAAACCATTCAACACTGACAGGGATGCTTACAATTGTTAGCTTTTATTCATATGGTTAAAACCTTTATCACAAAAAGTAAAATACCCATTGCTGTAACTGCTTAAAATGTTAGCTGAAGCTAGGCTTTTACGTCGTACTTAGTGCAAAGCGGCTGCATCAAGTGCATGGGCACTGTACAGGCGCGCGCACACACACACACACACACACACACACCAGCAGTGCCCCAAGACAGGAGGTGTTACTTGCCGGATCATTAGACGAAAAGAAAAAAACGGTACAACCATAGCTAAAAACTGCTAGCCTGCAATACATTACATTTCCATACTTTTGTTTAGAAACATACAGTACATTATTTTCACTGACTAAATGAACAGAATCTTCTTCCATTTTTAATATGCTTGCCTTCTTTAAATTACACGTTTAGAGATTTAACCACTAAAGGGAGCTACCTGTATAATGGTTAATGGTATTTGGCAATTTGTTAGTTTACTATTCTACAAACTGACTATGAAGTATTTTTTCCCGTCAAACGTAAGGTGAACAATGAATATAATAACTAAAAAAAAAAAATCACACACTGATCCCTGTGTGTGTAATTTAGCATCTAGCTATTCATTCACAAATATTACTGCATACTAGTAGACAGGACTACCTCACTACCTCCTGGCTTTCAGGGGTAAAATACATGATGCTCAGATGCAGTTGCGTATTTACCAGTTGAAAACCTACTCAATGATTGCCACCAAGTCTAAACATACAAGCAAAGCTATATTTGGGGCACATTTACACAAGTAGCCGGATAGGTTGGAATTTTGTGCAGTGCGATGTAACATGTTGTAGCACATGACAAGACGAATCATAAAACTGCAACAAAGCTGTTAAAAATGCACTGCAGCACAGGGCACACTGATGCACTATGGTATAAATGAGCCAAGAACTGTTAAGACAAGAAGATACCAGGCACACTGGAGCACAGACCGCAAGAAGCAGTGCACATTTACACAACCATTTTGTAGAACTGTTAAAGCAAGAAGCAGAGCAATCCGGTTGTACAATGCAACTACAAATGATACATTATACCTAGAAGCAAGGTTAACCCACACATCATACAAGTAATATTAAATCCTATAGCACCACAAGTAGCTGTAACAGATAACTTCACCCCTATGTTGCTAAAGGAGGGGGGCAATTCGTATTTTCCCATGCAAACGAACCTCAGCATAGGGTGGGAATCTTGCAATTGGCATTTCAAAAATTGACAATCTTGTCTTTCTGCTCCGAATAAAATAGTTCCTCAAAATGAAATTTTAGCAAAAACAAACAATGTTTCATATTCACAGTAAATTTTAAGACTTATCCTGCAGTATTACCAGGGCTTGCTCACATGTTTTACCTACACCTAGATCTGATTGGCAAAGAATACACAATACAACCCCAAATGTTTCACGATCCATGAAACGCTATGTTATGCCATACATTCTGAACCATGTGATTTACCCAAAACCTGCCAGAATAGTTAGGACATCCATTGCCGATTTACTAATATGTGCAATCTCCAGGACTCAACCACAACCTCCACTGCAGAATGATCTGCTAGCTTGAATAATTGTTCCAAGTGATAGTAGCAAGTATGACAGCCCATGTCAGCACCTGCTACATCTCTATCCATACAGGTTACCTTTTAACTAGCAATTCATATACAGAACCAGTAAATATAAAAACCACAGAGCATGTAGAGGTTTTTGCACAGCCTCTGAGCATTTCAATAGGTGGCATGAAGCCATTTCCTCCACATTTGTTTCATGACAGTTACCCAGTATTGTAGCCGTAACATTTAAGTGCATGCATCACTTACCAATATTAATTCAACTGCAAGGCTAACGGGACAAACGGTTATTAGGACTCACATAGAAATAAAGACTAAAGTTTAACCAAGAATTGTTATTTTATTTAAATGTTGCATCCAAAATAAGATTAAAGGGTTACATTTACGCTGAAGTTTTATTGTGTTGCAGATTCATGATACAGTTTTATATTTTTAATGTTCACCATTTATATTTTGTAGCACTTCATGGCAGGAAGCAAACAGATTAAAGGCACACCTAGCACGGAGAACAGTTAAATAGGATGGTGGTACAAAGTACTATTCCATAACTACATTTTCCAAGTTTTACTCTTTTTAGTGATGCATTTCAAGTGATTAGACTGGTTGTTAATAGACAATTCATACCAGTATTATATGCATTAGTTTCTGGAGGCTTTGTGCACAAAAGTTATGGAAGGCACATTAAAAGCCATAGCATCAGTTTAGCTCAAGACAAATGCTTTCTTAGTGCGACTTTTAAGCAGATGCATTTTTAGGTGGTGTATTGGATTAGGTGATTGTTATGCAGTTAATTTGTGCAGAACCTTCCAATAAGTAGCCGTGTTTGGTGAACAAGGTATAAACTGATAAGCTTTGGTTATAACCTAACCCCCAGGAAATTAAGTATATCCCATCTGAGAAACTGCTGCAGCATTTTGCACACCCCAAACGTTGACCAGCGGTACACGCAGTGATTACTCAGGGACGCAACTAGGTGAGGAATTTATAGTTTCAATGTATCATTATGCCCAGGGACGCAACTAGGTGAGGAATTTAGTTTCAATGTATCATTATGCCGCTTTCCTTGTATTTAATATGTATTGGAATTTCCAGCTTGTTATCCTCTGGGAATCCTCATTTGAGTGAAGCTTTGATTAACTGATGGTTCCACTTAGAGTCTTAGACTGTTCATCCTCATCCTTGGGAGTTTGTTAAAGTGAAGCTATGTTTACATTTGTCATTTTATCATTTAATACCTTATTCAACAAATTTACGTTTGGTTTAAAACTATTAGGACACAATTTAAAGAGCCAGTAAATAAAAACACGGACACCACTCCTTGGCCTCATTAGAGAGGCCTAAAGTTACGATAAAACTGTCTGGCATCATAAATATGCAAATACAGGACTGCAAACTGCAACAGTACATACAAAATCTTAAGTGTGGCTCATTTGGCACACACTAAAGGCACGAATACTTATAGTATAAAATTACAACATTTACACAACCAAAAGTGACTTAGTGCAAATATCAATACAAGTAAATGATAAACATACTGAGCAATTTTCTATGGGGTTCCACTGAATTATAAAAACATTGCGCAGCTTCACTGAGGATCCGCTATAGAACTACATCTTTACGTCCATTAAATGCAGGGCTTGCAATTTATTTGGCCTTTATTTAGGGGGTGGCTCAGATCTTAAAATGTTCTTAATAAAAGGGCTTGATTATCTTCATAGTGCAAAGTAATGTTCAGAAGACTTGGGGCTCCATAAGGGGTAAGGCAAGTGATGTTAGGGGCCGCACATCTTTATTAGGGGTCCCACCCCAGGGCATGTGTTGTGAAGACCAGCAGGAAGCAAGGAGTCCTTCCACTGACAGGACAGCAGTAATGGGACTTTGGACCACGGGCACATGTAGGAACATCTCTGGCACACAAGGGAGAGACTCAAACTCCTAACGGCACACTGAGCTCAGTCGTACATCTCGGACTAGGGGAAGCATCATGTAAAGGATCCACTGTTGTCCTTGGCAGAAACACAGGAACTGCTTCTACGTGGGTGTCTGAAAAGAATCTAAAAATAACCATTTATAACCCCACCCCACCCAGATAACTACCTTACCACCTGCCCCACCTATCTGCATCTACCCACATTAGAAACATAAGGGGAGTGTTCACCTTATATATTCACCCCCTCCCCTTACATCTAGGGCCATAACTAAGCTATGTTTTCCCCCAAACTATACCTAAATCATTACAGATAGGATTATATACCCATGCAAGATGTCTGCACATAACTTCTTTAAAATGGACCTTGATTGCTTATGTTTACAGATGATGGTGCCTATTCAGTTCAATGCTTCAAATGGGATGATTTAGACCTGGAAAATAAAATTAGAGACAACTCAATTCCCACCCCACCCCCCCTGCCAACCCACTGGTCACACTCACTTTTCCCTAGGTTTTCCCCTTTGTCATGATTGTGCATTCACACTGTCACCCAGTGGCAACATTCATATTACAGAAAATGCTGTGATAAGATTGGAGTACTGTCTACCAACGGACACGCCCTGTACTAGAATATGATTGTACACCCGCACACTGCCACCTGGTGACGACATTCATATTGCAGACCATGCTGTCATAAGACTGCAGTGCGGTCATCAGTGGACACACCCTTTGCTATGCAAGTGGAACCTAGTGGCAACATTGATATTACAGACCATGATGTCATAAGAAGCCAGTGCCATTTAGCAGCAGACCATCCCTGAACTATATATAGATAATTGTACACCCACACCCTGCCACCTAGTGCCGACATTAATTTACAGATCATGCGGTCATAGGAAGTCAGTCAATGTCATCTACCAGCAGACTGTCCCTGAACTATATATAGATAATTGTACACCCACACCCTGCCACCTAGTGGCAACATTCAAAGTACAGACCTTGATGTCATAAGACTGCAGTGCGGTCATCAGTGGACACGCCCTTTACTATATAATTGCCACCTAGTGGCAACATTCATATTACAGAACATGTTGTCATAAGAAGTCAATGCCATCTACCAGCAGACCATCCCTGAAATATGATAACACACACAATTGTACACCCACACCCTGCCACCTAGTGGCCACATTCATATTACAGACCATGCTGTCGTAGGACTGCAGTACTGTCATTGGCGGACACACCCTGAACGATGCGATCTGAAGACACAATCATAGCACACAGAATACGCCTGCTGATCACTGTTCCTCAGTTATGGCATGGTATACACGGATCTTGGGCTTGTCAGTTCCCTAGGTTGAGCAACATTCAGCATGTCTTGGAGATACCTCGTTTTTCTGAGCAGTCCTAAGAATCACAAAATGACCACACAAATATGTAACTCCCTACATATAAAATCCATAATTTCCAACCTCCCTCCACAAGATTAGTACCCACACAATTCCATGTAGCAACAGACTGTTTTTGTATTTATAAATGCAAAGTAATCTGCTCAACCTCCCCATTAAATATTCTACAAGCAGCAGACAGGATATAAGAGATCATTTATATAAATGTAATCATTTTAGTCTGAAGCTTTCCTTTTTAGTTACATAATTTATCCCACTCCCATACTCACCACCATTAGGACAGGCGACATACATACCATCCAGGTCAGCGCAGCCGCTGGTCTCCGGTCAGCTTCTTCTTTCTTCTTCGCCCATCTTCCACCCGCACAATACCTTTCTGCTTTGCTTACCGTCTCTTATATAGGCTTTAGGTGACTCACATGCCTCATTTTATATCCTTCCGCCAGTCCGAGTAAAAAGTAGTCCCACACCAAAAGTGTTTAGAATAATGTATCCTTCGCCTATTAGTACTCGATGGTTATGTCTGCTGTGCACCTAATCTGCCAAAATGCTAACGCATTAGTCATGGGTTCAAATTGTCCCTTTTCATTTGGAATCAAGTTAAAGATAATGTGGAATTTTCCAGAAGTCAGGCACGTCATTCTGCGCATGCACCTAATTCATTTTCGTTCTCTCATATTTCTTGCTTTTTCGTGTGGCACTCTCTGTACACTGGTTTGAACTCTGGTAATTCGTTGTTTTCCTATTTTAATCACATGTACGTTAAACAATTCCAAATGTTTAAAATGAGTTGCGTTGCTTCCTTCCCTGTATAGTCCAGCGGAAGAATACTGCGGTAAGACCGCGGATGGATCTCTAAACCAGTTCGCCGTCGAGACAAAAACAAATCGAGCGGATGGATCTATGCTGCAGTAATGTGTAGATCCGGCTAAAACTGGTTTGAGCTGGTTCAGAGCGGACGCTCATCTAATAATAATGAATTGTGCAGATTTTTCCAGAATATTCGGAACTAAAACGACTTTAGCTATGTTTGACCTAGAAAAGTTATGACTTCTTTTTCAGAGGGAATGTAGTTCTGTCATAACAGCAAGAAATCAACAAACAGGGAAGATTGAAGTATTGGTTAAAAAGTATCTCAGTGTTTCTTTCACATGAGAGAGAATAATGCTCAGTTCACAAGCTATAACATTAATAAAATAAGGATTAGTATTTCGATAAAAGTGACAGTTATTTTCAGATAAATACAATAAGGTCTGAAAATTACATTCAAACAGCTGAAATAAAAATACTTATTTTTGTGACTATGTATCGTTCCCTAGCTGATGTGGAAGATGATGAGTCTCTTTGTTTCATCTGAGATGCTCAGAAAAAAAATATATATATATTTTTTTTTATTTTGAGTTTTAAGCTCACAACTTCAATGTTGGTGTGTCCTCACCCAGAAGGATCTAGACGTACTGCACTGCGCATTTTCTGACACTGCAGTAACAATTGTGGTGGGCAGAGTTTACTTTCCACTGAATACAAGTATTGACACAGCTCTGATTATCTGAACAAAGCTGTACTTGGCATTCCCTGGGCACTGTAAGGGCTTATGAACATGGCTGTAAGAAAATACGGCAACTAGTACGCAGGATCTTGCTGGCAGAAGCCGGCAGCTATCCTGCGTATTAAGTGCTCTGAGCACTGTACGCATGTAAGGTTTCTGCAACATTTATATGCGTGCAGAGTGTGGCGCAAAGGTGCGCTATTTGTTACTAGGACACTAGACAACTTGAGGCACCTGCATCCTGACAATGAAGAATGTTAGGTGACTGGTGCCACCTCAAATCTAGTAACAAAGGCAGCTAGGTGCATACAGCCATCTGCTTCCCAGCAATGAAGGACGCTAGACGACTTGAGTCACCTGCATCCTAAAAGCAAAAGGCAGATGGACACCTTCAGCCGCCTGCATCCAGGCAATGAAGGACCTTCATCCTAGAAACAAAGGCAGCTAGGCACTTTTAGCTGCCTACACCCTAGCAAAGAAAGATGCTATACAACTGGACCCACCTGCATCCAAACAACAAAGGAAGCTAGGTGGCTTTAGCCACCCGCATCCTAGCAATGAAGGATGCTCAGTGGATCCAGCTCCTTGCATCACAGCTGAAGCCACCTAGCGTTCTTTCTTCCTGGGATGCCGGCAGCTCCAATAGAGTACATTTGCACTGTACACATGTAAATGTTACAACAAGCAGTTTAAGTTTGGTGAATGTCACATTCAGTGCTTTATAATCGATTTGATACAGATAATTCATTTCCTTTACACCAAAAAGGATTGGTACTCACTCATACAGATATCATCCAAAAAGGTATAACATTTATGTGTGCCATAATCAGCACTTCCACCAAAAGGTTATTGTCGTGTAGGTAATCGTCACACGCAGTGATCAAGTCAGACTAGAAATAACATTTTGCTACATTTAAGCAGGTTGCAATGTGTATGGTGTGACTGTAGAGTTCTATATAATCTTCTCTACAGCAGTCAGAGGTATTGTACAGAATCTGGTGTGCGGACAAAGGCTGGCCATACACGGCTCAAATTTCAGCCGCCTCCTGGTAAATTGGCCAAAATTACAGCCTTGGGCACCACCCGGCTTGACAAAATTTGATTACAAAATTGAAGGAGCCAGGGGAAAACTGTCGGCTGAACAGTGACTGCATCCAGGCTGCAATGATTTCAATCTACTCCTATGTACAGACCCTTCACAAAGCTTAAAAAAACAAACATTTGGTAGTTCTGTTTGAATCCTGAATTAGAATTGTTGTCTGTGGTACATGTATACAGACTTGGCTGTGCAAACCAGTTTTTAAGAACTGAGTCACTGGAAAATTCCTGGCTGCATTATGAGTTAGTTCCTCCCTGCCCCTCCTTTTCAGACTGCAGCAAAAGCAAGCCATTCATGTTGAGACATGTCTGTCTTACAGAGAATGTAGTCCCAAAGAACATTCTAAAGACTATTTAAAGTGTATATGAATAACGACTCCAGGCTACTTTCTTCAAAATTTCTGACTAGCCTGAAATCTGTATGGGCAGTAACAATGTAACTGTAGATAGCACATTTGTTTCTCTATAACAGTAGAAAAAGACAACCATAAACACGTTTATACATTGTTACAATACTCAGTTATGTTAGAACCAGTAAAACAAGAGAAATGTTATAGGTAAAAGAGTTGATAGGAATCTGTAAAACTGACTATGTTCAGTAACCTTGTAACTGTAGATAGCACATTTGTTTCTCTATAGCAGTCGAAAAAGAAAACCATTAACACATTTATACACATTGTTACAATACTCAAAGTCAGGTTAAACCAATAAAACAAGAAAACGTTATGGGTAAAGGAGTTGATCCTAGCAGAGGGATGGTATGTTTGGGTAGGCACCAAAGGGTGTCTATCTTCAGGTTCCAGGGATAGGAACCTAGCCCTGTTCATAGCTACATTTCAAAGTGGAGTAAGCAGAATTTCCTGAGATATGAAAACTAGAAGCTCTATAAACAATAATTGAAAAATTGTCAGGACAGTCCCAGAAGATGTGCATGTGCTCCATTACATAGAACAAGGACCACTGGCAGCCGGTTGCGTGTGCATGCACATTTGCTGGAGCACACATATTTTCATGAGCATGCTAATTCATGAGCGCACAGTGCACAAACGTATTGTGTGTACAGGCGCATAGGCACACACGCCTAATTCCAATCTTGGTGCCAAACGGCCTAATTAAGGAACAGAGTTGAGCTAGGGAGTTGCAAGAAGGTCTTCAGCTGTTACCCTGTGACTGCAATCCTGACCTACTTCCCTGTTGCTGACCCAGCCTACTCTCTGCTCTGTCTCCACTATGGACCTCTGCTAGTTTATGGCATGGGCTCATGTCTTCTGACCTTCTGGTATGACCTGGGCTAGTTCCAGACGATGGCTCATTTCTGTTGACTTTCTGGTGTGACCACGACTCTGCCTGCTAACCTTCCAGCTGTCTGTCTCTTCGGCTACTGACCTCCGCCTGTCCAAACCGAACTTCCAACCTGCTGATTATTCCAGTGTCCTGGCCGGCTGACTTCTGGTCTGCCTTTCCTTGGGGATCTTCCAGTCAGTCTGCACAAGCTCCTGATGGCAAAGTCTGCTGTCAGAAGTTAGCATTTTGTGGACTGGACTCCTGGCACTTGTGCCATTCTGTGCTCACTGCCTCACTGTGCTCTGCTCCAGGGGTGCCTAGACCACAGGTCCAAAGAAAGCCCTCTTGTCAGTTCGTCCTCCAACTAGGCACGTGATAAAAATGTTCCTAAAGCAAGAATGCAAGAAACATTTTATGCCAGTAGAGGTGTTATGAGGTGCTGGTGTAGCCTGACATGCTTGCGCTCCGGTACAAGACAGAAGTCAAGGTTCTTGAGCTTCACACCTGTACCCACTGGTTCAAACTTATTATCATCACCCCTATATAACTTCTGCAATTGTTTCACCCCCTCTATACTACCTTCTGTACCTAAAGTCTCCAGCTCTCATGGCCCCTATTCTATATGAAAGCAACCTCATGCCTATAAACCCCTCCATTAAGCACAGAATTCCCCATCTCCTCCAGGAGAAGAAATGTAACCATACACTTTTCTCAGGAAAATGTGGATATGGTTGGACAGGTCTTGTATCCTTCTTTCTATCATTCCATATCATTCCTTCCTTCCTCCTTCCTTCCTACCATTGTACTGACTGACACGGTGCCTAAACTTTTGACTGTCTCAAATTTATATTTTCCCTATCTCTTATATACAAGTACATAGTAACTGTTCAGTAGTTATTTTCTGAAATATATCCTGTTTCAATTTTCTCTGTGAAAGCGTTTTCACTTACACACCCAACAACACCTGTAGCTTAACCAGGGGTATCCAACCATTCACAACTGTATATTAAAACTTGTAGAAAGAAAAGTGGCTGATCCTTTAGATGTGAACATGCAAATACTAAAGCGTTAGCTCAGCAAGCTATTCAAACCTTTTGTATATGTCTACACGAAAGTTACACAGCTGTGACAACTGCAGCTAGTGTGACAAACCATGGAAAGAACGTCACAGCTATTTCTGTACTGGTACAGCACAAGGATTTGAATATCAGTGAAAGGGGACAGGGAGAAATATAGTTTTCATTTCTACATTTGTTCCAGGCAAATTATTTGATTGGTACATTTATTTTGAAGCAAACATTGGGCTTTTCTCATGCTACAGGTGGTTACAAACATTTTTCCAGCTTTTTTACAGAACTAAATTGCACTCTCTCACAACAAAGTTAATTTAGGGTGTGGTCATGT